TCAACTGCAAATAACACTTCTTTGGCTCCCTGAACGTATTTCAGTATGGAGATCCGTTTATCCTTTTCCATCGCTGGAAAAGTTGCAGCCAAAGCTCACTTACGGTCCCCGTGCCCAATTGTCATTGTGAAAGCATAGGGCATTGCATCTTCACATGAGAAACTAAAGTGCTGATTGTCAGTCTCGGTCACGGTATACGAGAATGGGATGGATGGCTGATGGGCTTAGACCTGAGCAAATACTTTGAGGAGACAAATATCGGGAGGAGAGGAGGAGAGTTGCTTAGTCGACAAGTTCGTGTGGCTCTTTTGAAGATCCTGGGGAAGACTAATAATGTACGCCATGGTCAAAGTGAACTCTCTCTCAGGAGCTGAAAAGGGGAGAAATCTGGCAATCTGCGACCTCTGTTGTTGCTTCGCAAAAGCGAACTGTACAGACGTCACGAAAAGAAATTGTTGCGATAGCTTCCTTATTCTTAGGCTGTTTAAAGCAGGTGCGTTTAATTTAAAAGACAATCCCAGTAAGCCGCGAGCAGAACAGTGTGCATTGAGCTTGACGAGACTCTACGGACTCCCATGTTGTGTAAGCCATGTCAGCCCCTTTCCTGACATTATGGATTTGTTCTATGTCTTTTGATAAAGCCACATGGCACAAGTACTTGTTATAGAGAGCCTCTATCCCAAATGCACCTGGGGCCGTCTTCCGATTCTTCCCCCAGCATTTCAGAAGACAAAACTTCCTTCCGAGGACCGTCACCCCTCGATCTCATTACCCTCCAGGACACAGCACGGGTATCTCAACACCATTGTCAGACCATGCACCAAAGACCGAAGCACCTGTACAATGGATATCGCGCAGCTGTGATTCTTGTTCTTCAAGGCCAGTGGCCACTGAGTAACCACTTCACAATTCGATCCCGATGCCTGTATCTCAGTCTTTCCTCAAACACTGTCAGCTTGCCCTACACCTGTATTCAACTCTTCGGGTGATAGCATGTGCAACGCGGAACCGCATCCTCAAACAGGCGAACCAACGTCGGTATGTCCATCTTGTCCGTGCCATAGAATGCATCTTTGAACACCCAAGCCGCAAGTCGCCAACAAAAACCTATGACACTTTTATGTGCCTCTATCAGTAAGTGCTGTACGCTCCTGTTGACGTACTCCTGATCTCTATACTTATGACGGAATAGAGAGAGCACCGAGTGTCGACCTAGATCTCCCTTGCGTGTAACGCAAAAGAATGCCGGATCCACTTGAAAGCTGCTTCTTAATTTGATGCGATGGGTAACGTAGAGGGTCTCGCAGGCTGGGCAGTGCTCACACATCGATATCGAGTGATGTTGGTCCGGGTATGCTGTAAGGATTGGTTATGCATGCTGGCGACAGTGGTCTGGGGACTTACCGCAAACAAACCCGACCTCTATCTGCTCTGATATATCTGGGACAGTCCAGACTGGCCTTGGGGATGGAGCGGTGACTGGATGTCGGATAAATTCAAAGAATGCTTCGCTACCAAAACTTGTGCCGCACAGCGAGTTCAAGACAGTGCAGATCTCTTCAGCGTAGATCAAAAGGGGTAGGGGTAGGTTGTCGCTGTCTGGCAGTGGTGGCCAGCATGGCTGAAGTGGATTCGAGTTACCAGCGTCGATGGGCACTGTTGTCGCAGGGGTACCACTAAATCCAGTCTCGATTTTTATTTCCCCGCTTAGAGGGGGTAGCGTGCCAAGTGGCGGCGCTGGGGCTTGTGGTGTCGGTTCAACGGGGGATTGAGTTTGCTCGGTTTTTATCGCAGTAACGCTGGGTTGAGTACCGGGCTGGGCTTGAGGTACCGGTGCTGGTTGCGAAGGCCGAAGTGGTGGAGGAAAACCGACACAATCTGAAGGGATGCCGAAACCCTACTCGTAACCCCGGTCGTCCATGATGGGAATTAATGATTAAGGATGGCGAAGAAAAAATGACAAGCAGAAGACATACGGTATGAGATGATGCTGCTGGTGAAATGGAGTGGGGATCGCGGAAGCTGAAGATAAGGAAAATCGAAGGAGCGAGATTTCACCTTCTCTTTCCGCCCTTTCTCCAGCATCGCAGAAGCAGCACCAGGGCAAATCGCGGAAAGCCTCTCCTTATTGCGTCGCTTCAATGCTGATGATCTAAGTAGTGGTGCAGAAGAATCGTAATGGGCTTTAGATACCTTGTCGTTACTGCTCACAATCACGTAGTTCGAGTGAGATGCGTAGCCCGGTCCTATAGACTACCCTGGACAGAGCTGGCACAGGCGACGATCTAGCAACACTCAGGAACGAAGAGGAAGTCTGGTCGCTGCTCAGTCTTGTGTCAGTGAGAGGTGATGAAAATAAACAATGTACGG